CCCCAAAACCCCAAAACCCCAAAACCCCAAAACCCCATCTGAGAGATAAAAAGTTGAATAATTATTGCTATAAGCCTGTTGGACGAAGGTAACGCTCTAATTTTTTCTGAGTATTTTTACACTTATAGGGCCCAAGACGTCTTCTCTTCTCAGTAGTGATTATTGGAGATCTCTTGCACCCCTGCTTTGAGGTAGTAATCTGTAGGAAAGTTAGTAGAAGACAGAAGTTAGACTACTGAAAGTAGAGCTTACGTTCTTGGACTTGAATAAAGAAGCATGCTCTTTTGGTCTTATTGATAGTGGCTTCATCGCTTCTGTATTATTTTCTTGCTTTTTATCACGGATATTGTCCACTGAGGAATCGATATTGCACTCAGTTGATAAGTACACTTGGACTTTCTGTACCGAATCATTTTTGCCTCCAAATTTTCTTAATGTTGCTGGTACTTTTTCTTCAATACTAGGCTCTTGTTCTGGAACCATCTGAGGTTTATTTTTAAAATGAAGGTCTAACGAATTTTTGACTGCCATTCATTTCTCTAAAATCCCTCCCTCATTATTTATGAGACTTCTCTTTTCGCTTATGCTGAGATTCTCTACAATATTATGAAGGAACAAACCTAAATTTATTCTTCAACAGATCAAGATCTTTATTCTCATCGATTGAATTGAGAAACCTTAATTTTCGACGTTCATAAGCTCCATATTCAGTATTCGAGTTATCAATAGAGCTGAGGATGGCATCACGGACTTTTTGGACATCATCATTGTTCTTCGCCAAGTGGGAGGCTTTGCCAGAGACTTTCTCTTTACGGTTCACACCTCTAGATTTCTGTAGGAATCTTCATTTTCCTCCGAATTCTTCATATTCAAGATTTGAAGGCCCAGGAGTTCCTTTGTTCTGACGCTTCCGAGAAGACAGCTTAATGTTCTTAAAAGGAGTATTCTGAAATATGTTCTTGGATGGCTTGGAACTATCCTTTTGCACCTTGCCAGTTGAAGATATCGATTTTGAAGATTTACATTTCTGAATTGTCTTTTCTTTATTAGAATTTATAGTGTGACTCCGATCACGAGCGAGAGGTGAATAGACAGGATCTAACTTAGTCTGGTTTACTAAATCAATCTGACAATTCTTCTCACTTAGTTTTAGAGAAGAAATAGAGTTGTTGTTACATGAAGTATTTAGCATTAAGCTCCCTGATTCTGGAGTTGGGTTTAATTTTATGTTAATGTCTGAGGATATACCCTTTCTTCCCGAAACACCACGCCCAGTGTTGCTTCTTTCACCACTTTTCGTAGAATCTGTCAGATTGTTTATTGACACTACCTTGACAGCATTAAGAGTGGTCAACATTTGATTTTTATTTCTATCTTTCAGCTTACTAAAAACTCCTCAAGACGGCTTATTGACGACCACCTTGACTTCTCACGACCTTCGCATTTCACTCAGGCTTCTTTTATTCATTTGAAAACTTTCATTCACCGAATTAGCCCGATTTGTCAACATATTCTCCCCTGGCATTCACTCATCAACCCCATCACTCACTTCCTCATCAATCTCCTTAATTTCTTTCACAGCTCGATCTATCCCATGGCCCAACCAGTCTCCCGAATTCCTCTTCTCATCCTTCAAAATTTTAAAACCCCAGAAATCCTTCATACTCCCTTTTGTGCTGGTCGCTCATCAGCTTAGGCTGCTTGTAAGTCGGTACTTCGTGCTGGGACTTCAAACTTGCTTTGTTCTGTTTTTCTGGTTGACCTGTATATTGTTAGGAAGATGATTAAAAGAGGTGAAATAGAGGTTAAGATTACTTGAGTGTTTGATCAAGATTTCTTTCTCACTTCGAATCTGGTTGTAGGAAATTTGGACTACTGGGGTGATAATGCCCTGGAAGGGTCCCTTAGATATCCCTTGTATTGATTTTTGTTCTTCAATCTTAGGATGTCCCTTGGGTTTTGCAAATCTGTTATTTCAATACCCGATGTTTCTTTAGAATAATTGGAGAGTTCTTCTCCTCACTAGCATCTCTTTGGGAACTGACCTGGTCAGAATTTGTATCAAATCTCTTAGAGCGAACCATACTTTGACTCATCTTTTTCTGGTTTCTTGCATCGTTAAGATTTTGCAACTTAAATCTAAATACACTATTTATTCTTGCTCTTGAGTTTGACAAAGTTATGTTTGAGGAAGTAGTATGATTTGAACTAAATTTTTCAAGTGAACGGCCTGTTCTTTTCCTCTCAGTTCTTTTCTTATAAAAGTTAAGGCGATCTGGAATGGTCTCTGACATTACTAAACTAAAATATTAGATTTCCATAATTTATTTTCTCATTGGGGTTTTGGGGTTTTGGGGTTTTGGGGTTTTGGGG